GATCCAAGAAGGCAAACACGTGGATGGAAAGCTGGAGGGGACATTTTTACATTATTTTGGGTCAAAAAGAAGAAAGAGATAGCTCATAAATGAGGAAGAAAAACGTGCACCAAAGTGGTTGCAAAGCTGTCTTGATTTGATTTTTCAGAACACCTTTCGGTGTTTTGCCCATAACTTTTGACTCAGGTGTCCAAATGAGCTGTTCTTTAATGATCTAGAAAGGTGACAAAATTTTCTATAATATGTATCTAATAGACTTTTCCAAAAGAGGCTTCTAAGAGGGTCAAATTGTTGTCCAAAGTTAGAGTCAGATTTGTGTCCGAATTTTTTCTGAAATTGTGTTGTGTTCTTCTTTATAGATTTCGGTTCTTTAGTTTGTAAAACTTATTATTTCAGTTTAATTCAAGTTATTTCATGTTTATTGAAGTGTTCTTATATATAATTATGGTTGGCTAAACTCTTTCTTGGATCCAAATCAAGGATAATGGTGATTGAGGTGAGTTCTTTAGGATATGAATGAATCTTAATGTTTATATTCTCATTTTCTTCATGAATGATTTATTATTGCAAAGAAATTTTAGAAATCATTTAGGTAATGTTATAATCTTGAATTTTTATGCACAAACTTTAATTTTGGTATAGAGATTGCTTGATTCAATGTCTTACTTAATATGAAAGTACTTGTTCATTCTTAAGCAATAATCAATCTTCATCTTTCTAAACTTCATTGTAATATCTTCCAATCTAATATCACCATCGTTGATATTAGGTTGAGTTATCTTATATATGTTGAAGAAATCACCAATACATCACCATTAAAATTGATTTGGACCAAGACTTACTTTTTCTTGTCATTTAAAATCTATTTACACCTTTTCATCTTTGAAAACAAATCCATCAATTATTTTCAACCAAGTTATTATTAATTTAATTTCTCTTGAGTTTTTTTCTTGTTACCTAGCTTAATTTTCAGATCTAGCTCTCTGTGGATATGACCTCGATCTTACCGAGTTAATTGCTACATCGCACACTCGTGCACTTGCGAGTTAAAACAAGCCGATCATAAAAAGCGGTCAAGCAATAGACCAGTGAGACAAGTCTAGGTCTAAGAGGAGGTTTGGTCGCATCAAACAGAGTAATGGCTTAAAATGGCTATAATTTTTTATTCGATCATTAAATCATGCTAAAAATTTTACAGGAGTTTCCAAAGGTACTTTTTCTTAGATTAGCATGGAATTTCTACTTTGATCATTGAGTCTTTATATTTTGAAAATCTCACCTCGACAACTTGGTTTTGAAAAGTTTTGTAATTTTCCTTGTTTGTTTTTTATTTCATGCTTCCTTCCTTTGTAATCTTGGATTCTTATTTTTGTTTTCTAGTTGAGGTAGGACTTTTGGACTATTTAAGACTTTGTAAACCTTTTAAGGAGAAGACTTTATCATTGTTATTCTAGAGAAAATAAAACTTGCGAACTTGAGGTTTACATCAACAACCCCCTTTGCTCATTAAAATTCTTGTATTCTTTATTTGTTTTTACTACCTTCAACTTCCACCTGTATCACAAATACTCACTAAATAAATACTCCAAGGATACATTCACTAGGATTGGTGAAGCACACCATTATCGAGTCTTGATGTACAAAAATAATTAGCTCAACTTCATTAAAAACTAACAAATAAATTGAAGTCCAACAAGTCGAAAAGGAGGCCACCATATATATTAACACTAAATCCTAAATCTTAATATTAACCCTTTAATTAATTGCTTTCTTTATATATATATATGGTCCAGTCTTATATTGTTCCTTTCACTTTATAATTTTTTTTTCCCTTGCAAACTATAGGAATGTCAAGTTTATAAGTAATTTCTAAAAGAGTTTACGGGGAAGGATGGAAACTCAACTTAACTTTACCAGTATTCATCACCTCAAATAGATTTGGCAAAAGTAGTCTCGACAACTTATATTGTTCCTTTCATTTTATAAATTATTTTTTTCCTTCAAAAATATATAGGAATCAAAAATATTAAGTGGTTGTTTGGCATTGTGGTTACGGGTAAGGTTCACTCACAGCTACACATATTGTTATTTGGTTAAGCGAAAAACGCAATTTTATTTTGGTGAAACCCACCATAAACTGTGACAGTGCCATCGGTTTACCAAAAGCACTAGAAAATAGCTATTTGTTGCTTCTTGCGTGGAGGAATCACATGAATAGTATAGTCATGCTACATTGTTCCGGCCGGACCGGGCCCAGTCCAAAGCTAAAAATGCATTGAATCGGATTTTATCCAATAAAATAAAAAAATATTTTTTTTTATTTTTAATTGTGTTTTATTTGAAAAACTAGTGTTAAACATTATTCAATGACACTATATAAATTAGACGAAAATCGCTTGATGATATAGCATTTGCAGAATTTGATCGCAATCCTAATTTTGTTCCTGATTATATTTTACCTGATGTTGTTGCACTCTTAAGAAACCAAGAAAATTATAGTCATTGTCGGATGTATTTCATACGTGATGGAATTTTGTTTTTGATTATATTTTACCTAATATCGAATGTATTTAATGGAATAATAAAAAATATTTTATATAAAGTATTTTTTATTTCATGTTATAATATCAATAGTTAAATCTACAATATTTAAATTAAAAACCATCAATATTGATATATATATATTTTAAAATTATTTTATAACCTCAATTTCAAAAATATTATTAACCAAACACATTAAATTATTTTTTTATTTAACATCAATTTCAACCATAATTTTAATTTAATATACATAAATATCAAATCAACTTTAATTAAAAATATTTTTTATAAAATATTTTTTTAAATTATAACTATAAAAATTACATTAATATCAAATAAAATCTTGTAGTTTGAAATTAACGTTGTAAATACAAAAAGTGAAAAAGATAAGGATAAAAAAAAGCAGAAGATAGAGGAATCGGAATCATTACAAAAAACAGGGGCTATTAGCATCTGAATTTAGTAACGGATAATTTCGTTGCTAAATTTAGTAACAGATTTGTAATGGATTATATATATATATATATATATATATATATTATTTTAATATTAGCAATGGATTTTAGCAACGGATAATCTGTTGCAAAATTTACGTTGAATTTAGCAACGGATTTTCTGTTGCTAATTGAAAAAATAAAAATTTAAATGTTAATATAAAGCTGAAATTATGTAGACCGTTGATTGCATACAATCTAAACCATTTATTTTCACTCTCTCTCCCCACACCGAAATTCAGAGAACAACAAAACCATTTACAGCTGAAAATTAATTCACTTTCACTCTTCCAGTGTATCCTTCGTCCCTAATAACAATATCAATCCCTAACTGTTGAAAAATCACCCTATCTTTATCGATTTCATCTTCCTTTATCCCAAACTGTTGATCATCTTCGCATTCATTTTCAGCATCCCTAATTTCTTTTCTTCATGTTCTTCTTCTTCATCTTAACAGTTTCAATATTTCTATGTAAACCAACAAAAACACAGACCCATGGCAACATCGCACCAGACCCATCAAACATCCTGATTTACCCCTTCTCTGTAAACGGGTTAGGTTTTGCACTTTTTTCTTCAATAGCTTAGGTAACTAATTTAGGGTTTTTGTTTTTTTTTGTTGCAATTAAAGTTACACTAAACAGTTCTAACCTAAATTTTCTAATCTCAGGTGTTATTTTTTCGTGTTGATCCATCTCCCTCATTTGTAACTGAAGAACACAGGTAACAATTTTTTTTCCAATACTTTGAATAATGGTTTGAGGCTATTAATTCGATAATATAAGGTTTATGAAATGTTTTTACCATGATTTATAACCTAATTATGCATGTTTAATTGAAAATTCATGAAAACCCCCAAATTAATTTTTAGGGTTATGGTTCATAAATTGAATGATTTTATGCAACTTGACCAATGCTGGCAATTCTTGTGTCTGGAAGAGAGTGATTTATAGAATTATGCATGTTTAATTGAAAATTTATCAAAACCCCCAATTTAATTTTTAACAATTAGTATTATTGATGCTGGGTGTTCTTTGATGTCTGCAAGTCTGTTTGTCCTCCTGTGCGCCAACACCTAGGTGATTTGAATGTATTCATATGCTTATATATATATAAAGAAACTTGCTTGTTGATGTTGTGTTTCATTAATAAGATTGCTGTTTTATTTTTGTATCTTCATTCATTTTTTTTTTCTTGCTCTTTTACTTATTATATATATAGGTAGTAGAATTGTGTAGTGAAAGAGGTTAGAATTCATGGTTGCTTCCTCCTTGTATGGTGTTCAGTTAATTTTCCATATTAGCTATATATGTTGTCTGTTTTTACTTGATTATTCTGTCTTGAGATCAGCATGCATGATTTGGAAACGTTTTTTATCACTAAATGGTTTAGGTGGCAGGTTTTTAATTCAGTTTAGCTAAATGTTAGATAGTATTTAATTTTTCTATTTAATCCTTCCTTCCCCCTAATTAATGTCCATTATTCTCACCTTGCCTAGCTAGACTAGCAACCCACCCATAAGGATGCAGGATCCCAAAGCCTAACTATTTTTTTTAATCTAAAATACTCTTAATTACATTTTAATATGATAGTCATATTGAGAATTTAAAAAGGTTAGAGAAACAAAGTAAGAAATAGGACATGATTTTTTAGTACATTAAATATAATAATTGTACTATTTAATTTCATTTATGTATATATTTTGCTTTCTCTGTTTTTAAAAATTTCCTTAATTTAACTATTTTTTTATTTTATTTTTTTCAACTCATAAGCATTCTAGATATAATAGGAAGTTTGGAACTAGCTATATAATTCATCTACATGTATGCTTCAGCTATTGAATTTTGGATAAAAATCTGTGATATTTACTCATTTTGTTACAGTACCTAATGCTTGCTTTGTTATTTGGCTTTTTTTTTTTAATTTCTGAGTCCTGACATGACTTTGTTCAATATGATGGCTTAGGTATTTAAGTGTGGCATCAAGTTATCTTCCTCAATAATTAATCAGCCTTTGGGTTCTTTTTGGCACGAAAGCGGTATGTTGCGTTCTTATTATTATTTACTATGATCTCCTTAATGCTTTATCCTTTTGAGGTCTTGTGATCTTATACTACATGTCATTTACATGGAATATCATTTAATGCATCCAGCTTCCTTTGTTCATGTAATTTTTCTACATGCCATTTACTGTTTTTATACAAACTTTTACCATTTTCTGCATCTGCTACCATTGTTAATTAGAGTTAATTATAATTTAGTCTATGCATTTTTTATGATTTTATAAGTTAGTCATTATGTTTTTGAAAACCAGAAGTTAGTTCCTTGTTATAAATTAAATGTTAGTTATTTTAACATTTCAAAATGAATCATGTTCAAGATTGAAAATTTTCAGGTTAGATCTTAGAAGAAAAAAATTGTTATGAGAAGACAAGTGCCAAAAAATATTAAAAATTAATAGTTTAACTTGGATATGCTTTCTGTTTTTCATAGTTTAACTTGGATTTGTTTTAAAGACTAACAAATGTTATAAGTGGATGGGTTTAAGCTGTTATGCACAATTCCTTTACCTAAGATGTACACTAGTAGATTTATCGATGAATGTCTACTGGAATTTTGTTTGTTGAAGCTCATTTTAGAGTTATTTGCTATGACATTCCATTTCTGTAACTGACCTCATGTGTTAGTTATTAACTAAGAGGTGGACTTGTGTATTGTAGCTTCTTGGTAGGAGTAGTGGATTTCAAGTAGCATCCACTCATCGGCCATGTATAAAAGGAACTGCCACATTACAGAATTGCCCTTGATGGAACTCAGTACAATCTCTTACTGTTAGACAGTGAAGGAATAGATGCCTATGATCAAATAGTAAGCACATTTACCTTATCAAGATGAACTAATGATTGTTGTGCTGGTTTTATGTTTTAACAGTTAAAGAATTGATGAAATGGCTAGTAATCAATTTTATTAATTGAAGAATTTTTTTCTGTGATTCCTTCTTATTTATGATTTACACCATATCCTTTTTATATTCCCACACAGCTGCTGTTTTAGATTATGCAGTAATTGTTGTTTTGGTTAGCTAGGTTTATTTACAGCTAAGTTGTTTATGCTATGCTTTTTTTATTCCCACGTTGAGATTGAGAAGACAACATTTCTCTTATGGTCTGCTCATGTCAATTAATTAACAATAATATTATGCTCCATACATATTAAGAGAAGAAAGAAGGCAACAAATCTACTAGTACATGAAATTAACTAAATTGCACTCTGTGTAAAGAATTTACGATACACCATGTATTTATATTTTCATCCACCAGTATTATAATTGGCATTTAATTATTATTTCACTATGATATAAAAGATAGATACACTGTATATAATTAAAGAGATAAAAATACAAATGTTGGAATAAAAATAAAAAATGTTGGAATAAAAATAAAAAGATCCGAATATATGATTATGATTTCATTTACCATTTCTTAGTTTACCAAAAAAAATCCGAATAAAAATAAAAAGTTTGATGGATCCAATAAAAATAAAAGGCTCCAAATAAAAATAAAAAAAACTATTTGAGGTTGTAACAAAAGTTAGAAGGATCAATAAAAAAAAAAAGAACTCCAAAACTACTTTAAAGATAAATTTATTTAATATTTTTTCAACTAAATATTTTTTTCTTTATCCGTTTATTTTGTATAAAATACTAATCGAACATAATCTAAAAGTCCACTTTTGTCAATAGTTGGAAAATATAAATGAAAATTATTAAGATTTATTTAAAGCAATTAACAAAAACTCAATAACAAAGAGTAGAAGGAAAAAAATTATCCAAGTTCTTACAAACACATATGCATATATCCCATCATTAACATTTTTTAGCTTGATATATGTGTGAACTGGACAAATAATTAAAGTTTATTTATGTTGTACATATTTTATTTTAAAGGATTGTTTAAGTACTAGTAGTTAAAGAAGTATGCTTATTTCTAAAAATGCTTATTGGTGTTGTCCTGTTAATTAGATTAACATGGATGATCGATCGTGGATGTATCGTCATCTTATGGATGGTCGCCTTCCTCCTGAATACATTACCGGTGTTAGAAGATTTATCAATTTTGCATTTTCAATTGATAAAAATATATCTGGGGGAAAAATTAGATGTCCTTGTGTGAGGTGCAAAAATCAAAAGTTTTTAAAGGAAGATGATGTTTGTAAACATCTATTGACAAAAGGTTTTTTACCTTGTTATGAAAATTGAACAGTACATGGGGAGCCTTATGTTGCAGAACCAATATTAGCTGGACCTTCATCAATTGGAATGAGTCATGTTGTGAATGATGTTTGTCTAGAGAATCCATATAGGAATCTAGTTATGGATGCAATGGGGGTTGGTGATGCATTCTATAATGATAATGTGTCTAGTCTTGTGGTAGTAGGGGAAATTCGAAATCCGAAGGCAACTAAATTTTTTAATCTTTTGAAAGCTGCGGAGGAGCCGTTGTGGGATGGGTGTACCAAGCAATCCAAATTATCTGCTTGTGTACAATTGCTTAATATGAAGTCAACTTTTAATTTGACTCAGAATGTCTTCAACAATTTTATTGATTTTACAAAAAGTTGTATGCCTAATGATGAAAATTTGGTATCAAATTTTTATGATGCCAAGAAATTTATGCGGCCACTTGGACTTGGTTATGAGAAATTTGATGTGTTCCTAATTACTGTATGTTGTACTATGGGGCAGATACAATGAAAATAAATTATGATTTTTATGGAAGTTCACGATACAAACCTAGAAATTCAACTAGTAAAGGTTCCAATAAGGTGGAGAAGCAACTCCGATACTTTCCCTTAACACCAAGGCTTCAGCGACTGTTCATGTCTCTATATCATGCCAAAGATATGACATGGCATCATTTTCATAAGTCAGATAATGGGGTTATGGTGCACCCATCTGATGGGGAGGCATGGAAGGAGTTTAATCGTGTTCACTTCAGCTTTGCATCAGATTCGAGAAATATTCGATTAGGGTTGTGCATTGATGGGTTTTGTCCATTTGACATGTCTTCAAATACATACTCTTATTGGCCAGTAATTATGACTGTTTATAATTTGCCTCTATGGAAATGCATGACTAGACCATTCATGTTTTTGACAATGATGATTCTTGGGCCAAAGAATCCGGGTAAAAAGCTTGATGTTTTTCTAAAACCTTTGATTGATGAGTTAAAGAATTTATGATCTGTTGGTGTTGAAACATATAATGTATACAGAAAGGAAAATTTTCAATTAAGGGCAGTTTTGATGTGGACCATTAGTGACTTTCCAGCATATGGCATGTTATCGGGGTAGAGTACTCATGGAAATCTGTCTTGTCCTTATTGTATGGAGCATAGCAAGGCTTTTAGATTAAAAAATGGAGGGAAAACTACATTTTTTTATTGTCATCGACGATTCCTACTCATGAACCACCCATATAGACATCAATCTGATAAGTTTTTGAAAGGAGTAATTGAAAGGCTCCCTCCTATACCTCGTCCATCTGGTTTGGAAATGTTAAATGAATTGTCCAAGTATACTGAGGGACATAATGGAGGTTCATCATATAATGATAAAATTCCGGGCTTTGGTGTTAAACATAATTGGGTGAAGAAGAGTATTTCTGGGAGCTTCCATATTGGCATACAAATTTGATTCGTCATGTATATTGAGAAAAATATCTTTGACAATATTTTTTATACAGTAATGGATTGTCCTTATAGAAGCAAGGACAATTTAAAGGCTAGGTTAGATATTCAATTGTATTGTCATAAGCCAAATTTACATTTGCAACAAGATATGAGTAGTCGGGTTTACAAACCTAAAAGCACTTATTGTCTACACAAGAAACAACAACAAGAACTTTTGTCATGGATGAAGGAATTATCATTTCCTGATGGTTATGCTTCAAGCATTTCATGATGTGTGAAAGAGGCACAATGTAAGGTTTCGGGGATGAAGAGCCATGATTGTCATATCTTTATTCAAAGACTTCTTCCAACCGCTTTCTGACCTTACTTACCTAGGCCATTGTGGGAGGCATTAACTGAACTGTCCGTATTTTTTCGAGATATTTGTTCAACAAATTTAAATGCCCAGCACATGGAGTTAATGCAGATGAATATAATTGAAATCATTTGTAAACCTGAAAGGATTTTTCCTCCATCCTTCTTTGACTCCATCGAACACTTAACGATACATCTACCTTACGAGGCAAAAGTTGGTGGACCAATTCAATATCGATGGATGTATCCATTTGAACGGTATGTTTTCATACTATGTTCATTTTATTCACTTTTTATTTTTTTTAAATAATCTAATTGACAAAAATGATATAGGTATATGTTTTATTTGAAGAAGAAAGTTACCAATAAAGCTAAAGTTGAGGGTTCCATATGTGAAGCGTACTTGATTGATGAAATTACCAATTTTGCATCTCATTACTTTGGTGATGACGTGCAAACAATTTGGAATCGAGTTCCACGGAATGATGATGGTGGCCTTAAAAGTGTAGATGGATGCCTCTCTATTTTTTCCTATCCGGGAAAAAAATTATCCAAAAGACTTTATAGAAGGCAGTTGTCACATGCTGAAATGCAAATTGGGCATAATTATGTGATATTCAATTGTCAAGAACTGAAGCCTTATTTAGAGTAAGTATGAAATATTATTTTTTACTAAATTTCTAATAATTTATTATTAACTTGAACATTTTTAAATTTTAGGCAATGTCGTCAAGAGCTAAAGTCACAACAACCACATGCGAGTGATGGTGAAATTGAAAAATTATGCGAAGTGATCTTTCCAAATTGGTTAAAAAATAATGTAAGTATTTTAATAAAATTAATTTATATTTTATGTCAATTAGTTACTTTAAAAATATTATTAATCTCTTTTAAATTATTATTTCTTATGGAGTTAACTATTATGCTAGGTGGAATACAAATCTAATGGAATTGAAAATCAGTTATTTGGACTTGCTATGGGCCTTTCAACTTCAGTGAAATGTTATAATGGGTATTATGTGAATGGTTTTAAATTTCATACTCAACGTCATGGTCGTTTTAAAAAGACAATGAATAGTGGGGTTTGTGTGAAAGGAAGTTGCTATGATGATAATGAACGTGATTATTATGGAATGCTTAAAGAAGTTGTTCGGCTAAAATACTTGGGGAGTAAGTGTAAGTTATTTATGTTTAAATATAATTGGTGTGATACAAGACGAGGGATTAGAGTGCATCCTTCGAATGGGTTAGTTAAAATCAAGCATACATCTCAACTACACGAAAATGAAGATTTTGTGCTAGCACAACAATGTCAACAAGTCTACTATACATATCCACCTGGTAATAAATCATCTGAATGGTGGACGGTTATTAAGACAACTGCTAGAAGTCATTATAATGTTGACATGGGTGAATTTATTGAAGATGCCAACAATGTAAGATCATTTGATGTTGATCAATCAGATGAGATTTCTCAACCATGTTTTGTCCTTCCTACTCAAACACTTGATGATCCAAATATACTTATTGAATCATCTTATTATGAAGAAATTAGGCAACATAAATTGCTTCAACTTGATATAAATTGAGGAAACAAATATGATGAAGAAGAAGAAGATGATGGTGATGGTGATAGTGAAGAAAAAGAAGATGATGATGAGGATGAGGATGATTATTATGGTGGTGATGGTTAGGAGTGATGATAATAATGAGTAGCGCAAGTTAATTAAATTTTGTAGTATATGTAATGAATTATCTTTATTATATGTATGGATGATTTCATATTATTTGACAATATTTACGCTTTCAATATTTTTTATTTATTATTTTATCATAGTGTGTTATGTATCACATTACATATATCATTTTCATTGACCTTTGAAAAAATTTCTAACCTTTCAAGTATCAATCTTTAAATTGTGATTCTGATGTTATATT